AGCAGAGTCCAAGCCCTCGCGGACTGAAAATCCCGTGCATTTCCCATGGCCTTGCTGAGCCAAATGCAGGGGCCAAATGCTTCCTTGCTGCACATCCACCCCCTGTTGCTGCTCATTTCTTCATTTCTCCAGCACACCTGGACAACACGACACAAACCCTGCTCAAGAACCCGGCCCGCAGCACTGAACCCGCTCGGGGCAGCAGCCTGCACCTTTCTCCAATTCCTGCAATGTTCCGAAAACCAGTTTAGCAGGGAAAAAAAAATAATCCACTTGCAATCTTAAACCCCGCGAGTTCCAGCGAAGGATAATTAATGAATGATTCAGAAGAGACGTGCACATTTCTGTTGTATGCCCACAGCCCTTGCTCCCGCCGCTCAGCATTTAGGATGATTTCATCTCATAGTAGCTTTTCCAAAGGTTTAATTGAATTACATAAGATGCGCCTGGATGAGGGAAGCAGAGTCCCAGAAACACTGGCACTGCTGAGCGCGGTGCTGCAGGAGAGGAGCGAGGACAGAGCCCCACTGACCCAGCAGGAGCCTCGCTGCTGCTCCGAGAATCGAGGCAGAGCCACTGCTTTATCTCTCCCAGCATCAGCACTTTTCCCTGGCCTCGTCTGGAGCACCGGAATGCTTTGGCCCCGGAGAATGAATCCGGTGTTTCACCTCGGAGCAGAGGAGCGGGGTCTCCATGAGCAAGGGAAGGCGGTTGCCATGGACGGATGCAGCGATGCCGATACGGAGAGGACCTGGCGGCACCGGGATCGCGAATCCGCCCTCCGGGAGCCAACGGGACTCCGTGATGGGAGAGGGAGGAGAAACCGCAGCACCGGCCTCCATGGATCGCCCTAACCCGGGAATCAGAGGTCTCCTCAAAGCCCCGGGACCCCACGCAACCTTTCCCAGTCTGCCTGGAAGGTGGGAGATCCCTGTCATTCCCAGCTGGGAGTGTTGGGACACAGGGACAAGGAATGGGCTGCTCTCAGAGCCGGCCCCTTGGCTTCCCCGGCCTCCCAGGACGTGCTGTGACCCCCGAGCTGGTGCTTTCTGGTCCCCGTTCCCTGCTGCAGATGCCGGGGAACTTGTTCTTGCCGGTGGCGGAGCCAACGCTCTCGCTCCCATCCCAACATCCCGCTCCGCGTTGCAGGGCATCGCTCCGGAGGCTTCAGAGGCTGCAACTCGCATCCAGGGAGCAAGAGGGGACCCCCAAGTGGTCCCTATTGGCTCTGCCTTGGTCTCCTGGCCCCTAAGAGCACCCCGGCCATCCCCATCCCGCTGCCCCCGTGCTGCCGCTCGCGCACTTAGCATGAGATTCCACATCGGACAAGCTGCTGCTT